ATTTTTTGTTTTAAAGTCTAATTTGTCTGATATGAGTATTGCTACCTCAGTTTTCTTTTCATTGCCATTTGCACGGAGTACCTTTTTCCATCCCTTCACTTTCAGCTTGTGAGTATATTTAGATCTGAAGTGTGTCTCTTGTATGTAGCATATACATGGGTATTGTTTTTTTATCCAATCAGCCACCCTATGCCTTTTAATTGGAGGATTTAGTCCATTGACATTTAAAGTAGTTATTGATAAGCATGCACTTACTGCCATTTTTTAACATTTTTTTCTTAGTGGTTTAGTAGTCCTTATCTGTTCCTTTCTTCTTCTCTTGCTCTCTTCCCTTGTGGTTTGATGGCTTTCTTTAGTTTTATGTTTGGGTTCCTTTCTCTTAGTTTTTTGTGTATTTATTATAGGGGTTCATATACAGTAACCTACGTATATAGGAATCTATATTAAGTTGATGGTCTCTTTAATTTGACCTCTCTCTGAAAGCTCTACTCTTTAACTCCCCTCCTCCCACATTTTCTTTTTTTGATATCTTATCTAACCTCTTTTTTGTGCATTTGTATCCAGTACCCTCTTATCATGGAAATAGATCTATTTGTGGTCTTTTCTTTTCCCCTTAAATAAGTCCATTCAGCATTTCTTGGAGTACTGGTTTCTTGGTGACTAACTCTTTTAATTTTGCTTGTCTGGAAACTTTTTATCTCTCCTTCCATTTTGAATGATAACCTTGCTGGCTAGAGTATTCTTGGCTGTAAGTTTTTCCCTTTTAGCACTTTAAATATATCATGTCACTCTTTTCTAGCCTGTAATGTATCTGCTGAGAAGTCAGCTTATAGCCTTATGGGGTTTCCTTTGTATGTAACTTGTCTTTCTCTTGCAGCTTTTAGGATTCTCTCTTTATCTTTAATTCTGGACATTTGAATTATGATGTGTCTTGGTGTGTGCCTCTTTGGGTTTATCTTGTTTGGTGCTCTTTGTGATTCCTGTACATGGATGTCTGTTTCCTTCCTTAGGTTAGGGAACTTTTCAGCTATTATTTCTTCAAATAGATACTCTGCCCCTTTGTCTCACTCTTCTCCTTTTGGGACACTTATAACATGGATGTTAGTGCACTTGACGTCGTCCCAGAAGTCCCTTAGAGTGTCCTCACTCTTTTTAATTCTTTTTTCTTTTACCTGTTCAGCTTGGGTGATTTCTTCTAGTCTTTCATCAAGCTAGCATATCCGTTATTCTGTATCCTCTACTCTGCTTTTGAGTCCCTCTAGTGAGTTTTTCATTTCCAGTATTGTATTCTTCATTTCTGATTGGTTCTTTTTTATATCTTCCATTTCTTTGTTGATGTTCTCACTGAGTTCATCCGTTCTTCTCCCCAGGTCAGTGAGAATCCTTAACACTCTTTGTTTGAACTCTCTGTCGGGTAAGTTGCTCATTTCTGTTTCACTTAGTTCCTTTTCTGGGGTTTTGTCCTGTTACCTTACTTGGAATGTATTCCTTTGCCTCCTCATTTTGCCACTTTCCCTGTGCTTGTGTCTATGTATTAGGTAGGTCAGCTACGTCTCCTGCTGTTGGACAGGTGACTTTAAGTAACTGATGCCTTATGGGGTCCGGAAGTGTGTTTCCCTCAGTTCTCAATGGTCCATGAGTGACCCCTATGAGGGTTACATGTGTCCTTCTGTTGTGGCGTGGTTGCTCTCCTGGTAGATTCTCAGGGAGGCTGAGCTGTGCTCTTGGACAGCTGTTGTAATGCTCAGCTGGTTGTAGTTGTTGTGGGCCCTTCAATCTCTTTATTGGGTGTGGGGAGCCCCAGCACTGCTAGCTGTAAGTTCTAATACCACATTTGTGTTGCAGTATTTCTTTTAAGTGAGTGTGCCCCCAGCGTGGCAGGTTGTTAGGCTCAGGGGCTTACAATTGCTATAAGCCTCCAGCCTTCAGGTCTCTTGTCAGCGGTCTGAGGATTGCAGCTGGCTGGAGCTGGCCTCAGGCATGGGAGCACCTGATTGTTTCAGGCTTTGGAAGGTGGGGCAAACTCGCTCTGTGGGTCTTTGAGAAGCACAAGTCTTTTGCATCTGACAAGCCCTACTGCCCACAGGTCCACACACACAGTCAACAGAGTCCTGCCCCATGTGCGCACCCTGACCTCCTGAAATGGACCCAGTCTCTCCAAGGCGGGAGCACCACACACTCCACCACTGCCCCACACTCTCCACCCACTCCTTACACAGACCCTGCCCCACTGAATTGGGCCCAGTCACCAGGCTTTAGAGAATCCAGTCACCAATCTATGCAAGCCTACAAGTTGTCCAAGGGCTTGTTGTTGGGTGGGGCCAGTCCCTAGGGTTGGCTGCCTGCCCTGGCTGAGCTGGATTAAATCAGTGCTCTAGTGGGTGGGGCAGACCCTGGGATAGCAGGCACCAGGGAGAACTCCAATGGCATCTGCCAGTGTCTGTCAGCACATCCACACCAGGGTACAACAATGGCCTCCGCCAATGTCCCCGTCCCTGGAGAGGTCTCACCTCTCATTGAGATGCCCTCGGAGCCTATCAGGTGAGTCTCTTTTCATCAAAGCGCTGTGCACCTTTCTTTCTGGTGATTTTAGGTTGCTTTCTGAAATGGGTGAATTTGTGTGTGGGTCCTTTAAGAGTCGGTTTTAATTTCTTTGTGAACCAGCTTTTCTGGGAGTACTCCCCAATGTTTTAGTAGCAGGCAAAGTCAGATATTATGCCACTCATCTCGATTGTGCTGTGTCCACAAAATGCCTATAGCAGGAGCGCTCCCCAGCTCAGGGCCCCACTCCTCAAGGAAGGCTGCGTACCTTTGGGCTGCTGCCGGGCAGCCCTGAGGCGCTGCGACTTGTGAAGGTGGCATTTTTCCTCTCCAGAAAGGAGTTTCTGCCTCTTCCACCTCAATTAGGGTTGTCCTTTGTTGCAGAAGTTCCTCTTGTCCAGTTTTCAGTTGTCTCTCCGGGGTAATTTTTCCATGAGTAGTTGTAAATTGGCTGTGTCCATGGCAGGAGGTGAGTTCAGAGTCTGTCTATGCCACCATCTTGACTTCTTGCACTGAAATGCTTTATTTTCAATGTTCATTTTTATAAAGACATTTGAAAAAATTTTCTTATTTTAAGTAAAGCATAAGATCCAACTGAGAGGAGAGGAAAATACATCTGATGGTTAAGGATCTGCCCCAAAAGTCCTCCTCATCCCTCATGGAGATGAAGCCTGACGTGGTGGGTTTAACAGGTGAGACGTGAGTCCAAACACGTCATATGTGCCTCAAGTCTCCTTGTACTTACAAATTTCTCCCCTGCTGACCCTTTTACCTTTGCCCCTTAACAGTAATTTGAGTGAGTATATAATTCCTCACTCACAATTAATACCTTGAGTGTACTTTTCCCATATCATTTGCCATTGTTTGAAATGTCTTTTCTCCAACAATTTCCTTCACTTTGCCTTGAAATATAAAGACGCAGATGTCACTGATATATCCATGCTCCCAGCACTCACACGTTCCTTCTACATCTCTGTGAAATGCCCACCATTTCCATCCAGGACTGCTGCAGACATCATTCTCACTGCTTTCCCCTGAAAATCACAACATACACTGTCCTTCTCTTTCTATTCATCATGCATCTTAATTTTCTCATTCCAGTCTTTCTGTGTTGCAACCTACAAACTTCCCTTAATATTGTATTCCAGTTTCATAATTGAATCTTCGGCTGTACATCTCCTTGGTGAAAAGAATATCTTGAATGTGTTAAATGACAGTATTATTTTTACCTCTAAGTATTTGTCAAATTAATTTCTAAAATCTGTATTCTTCTATAATATAACCTCTATTGTTGTTTCAAGAATTACTTTTCCTTCTTTATTTTTTCAGATAATTAAACACACATATTAAAACACTTTTGGTTATTCCCGTATTCTATTTCTTTGGATATGATAACTCCCACTAATGATTCGGTGCTGACCATGGTCCTGGGTCAGTGGGCAGAGATAACCCAGTGCTGTCTTCAAACATGGGGGAAGGGCACATAGCTTCCAATTTTCACCTTGAGCCCTGCTCCCCTCCCTCCATGTGATGACCTGGGGATCCTCTTCTGTCCACATAGAGGTGAGAACCTCCACTCAATGACCCCTTGATTGTCCCAAGCATCTGTAGCCGCCCGCTCAGCTTTCATAATTTTGTGTGTATGTGGTTCCTTCACTATTTTGGAACTTTCATTTCTCTTTTTCTGCAATAGACTCTGGCTACATATTTCAGAAACGTTATAAACTGCATTTATCAGTGTTAGGAGCAGATGGGGGCCCTTGAGCGAGCACATCAATCATCTACCCTGAGTGTGGAGTCCAACGCCTTGATCTTCTCATGTCTCAAAGCCCACACATCTTTATCAAACTTTAAAATTAACAAGATTAACTCTCCCATGTCCCTGGCTCCACTGATCCCACAACCACTCTGAGTGCGATTCCTGAGAACATGCTGCAGACGAGGAAACTGAGGCTCAGATTGGACATTAATGCTCAAGGTCACATGGGCAGTGGATGATGCAGGAATATTTAAATAAGAACAAGTTTTGTCCCCCAAACCACAATACTAACCCACTCATTGACCCCTAAAGCTGAAGACAGGACATTAAGATGAGGAGAGCTCTGTCCAAGGGATCAAGGAATCTGAGGAGGCAGAAATGACTCAGAGGATTTTTCCCAGAGAGATAAGGGTGGACACTGTTGCAAGAAAAAAGAGAGGTCCATCAACGGGGTTATGATAGAAAGAAAGCCCACACTCCAGGGCCAGGAGAGGAGTGACGTTTCCTTCCTTTATTTCACCGTATTGCTCCTGTGGGCTCACTGTGACTATGACCTCGACCTGAACTGAACAGTTAGGTGTTGAACGTGTGTCTCTGCTGATCTGAGCTCTGCAATGCAGCAAGATCCTGCGTCTTCCCTGAAGCATCTCCAAGGCCTGGATGACCACAGTCCATGGTGAGGACCCCACAAGGATGTGCTGATGGATGGGCTGAGGATCAAGGAGACCCCATGGGTGATGCTCTGAGGGGGAAGGACATGCCCTGGGCCACCCTCACCTGGAAGCGGCATCTCTGCATCTCTTTGCTGCTCCAAACTGTAAGTGAGAGCCAGGTTCCTGGAGGGGGGTAGCTCCCCTTCAAGTTCACCTTCAAGTCCTACTGACTTGACAATACCATGACTGGGAGTACCAGCCTCTCAGTGGCTACATCCTATGTGTCTGTCTGACATGCAGGGCAACATAGTCTCCTCCATCTGCGCAACCATAGTCACAGGAAGAAGATGCCACGACCCCCACCCTCATGACCGTGCTCTGTCTTGATGATATTTGAGGAGGGGGAGGGGAAGCTCTAGTCTGGGAGGGACCCTGCCCCACAGGCAGGCCCTGGTCTGTCAGGAGACCCCAGGACTCAGGCGGATCATGGGGAGGAGGGTTCTGCTCAGGCTTCAGGGACAAATCTCTCACAGTGCACCCTCTTCCAGGGCTGAGTGTGGGCCCAAGGATCCTAGTGAATGCAGGTGCATCTGTCTCCTCGTGTCCTTGATCCCACCTCCTCACTGCAGACAAGAGGCCACCGCTGGGCAGCTGGGGATAGAGAACAGCAGTTCTGGGCTGATGGATGGGGGACATCTGGGAGGATCCTGAGGCTGAGAGCTGGGAAACTGGGGGTGGGGAATGACTTGTGACCCAGTGTCTGATTTCCTTCCAGGGACCCTCTCAAAACCCATTGTCTGGGCTGAACCAAGCTCTCTGATCCCCTGGGAAGCCCTGTGACCCTCTGGTGTCCGGGCACCCTGGAAGCCCAAGAGTACTATCTCATTAAAGAGGAAAATTAATTCACCTGGAGCGTACAGAACCCACTGGACCCCAGGGACAAGGCCAAGTTCTCCATTCCACATGTGACAGAGGAAGATGCAGGGAAATATCACTGTTACTATCTCAGCCCCACTGGCTTGTCAGAGCACACTGACCCCTTGGTGCTGGTGGTGACAGATGAGAGGACACTCAGGGGTCCCAGCATCAGGTCTGCCCTCACGAAAGGGGTCTGCTCTCAAGGGCGTGTCGCCTCTCACAGCCCAGCCCTAGGGGATATGAGGGAGGTGTGAGCCCCATTTAACATGCTGCCTCCTCCTCTCCTAGAATTCTACAACAAACTCACCCTCTCAGCCCTGCCAGGCCTGGTGGTGACCTCAGGAGGGAATGTGACTCTCCAGGGTGGCTCACGGCTGGGATTTAACAGGTGCATTCTGACTGAGCAAGGAGAACACAAGCCATCCTGGACCCTGGACTCACAGCAACATCCTAGTGGACATTTCCAGGCCCTGTTCTCTGTGGGCCTTGTCACCCCCGTCACAGGTGGATGTTCAGATGCTATGGCTATTACAGGAACAAACCCCAGGAGCGGTCGCATCCCAGTAATGCAGTGGAGCTGCTGGTCCCAAGTAAGAAATCCCCATCCTGCTCCATCCATATTTTGATGCTCTGAACAAGTTATTAGGGTCTTTCCTTCCAGGGGAGCCCCAGATGATAATGTGAGGTGAGGGGAGCATGGGCTCCTGGGCAAGAGACACAGAGGGTGAGAGACAGTGAGACTTGGGGTCCAGGACTGGAGAAGAGGGATTTGTGGAGGAATCAGGCCCTGCAATCCACAGGTGGTCTTTCTCCCAGGTGTGTCTAGGAAACCCTCCCTCCTGACCCAGCAGGGCCCTGTCATGGCCTCTGGACAGAACCTGACCCTCCAGTGTCTCTCTGATATCAGCTATGACAGATTCGCTCTGTCCAAGGAGGGGCGACATAACCTCCCCCAGAGTCTTGGCCTACAGCCTCAGGCTGGACTCTCTCAGGCCAACTTCCCCCCGGTCCCTGCAAACGGGTCCCACTGGAGCCAGTACAGATGCTATGGTGGATACAACCACTCCACCTAATGGTCAGCCCCCAGTGACTCCCTGGACATCCTAGTGGCAGCTGAGGAGCCAGTGGATTATGTCAGGGACTCACACTCTGAACAGGCTCTGCTAGGAGATACTCAGGTGGTGATGCCAGGAAGAGAGGTGTGGGGTCTCTGGGGAGGGAGAGAGATAAGGAGAGACAGAAGATAGGCAGAAAAATCAAGAGACTCAGAGAAAACAAGACAGACAGAGATGAGGGTCCTCAGAGTGAGGCCTGGGGACTCAGTTCAGAACAAGGTGGGAGGGCAGCCCCTCACCCCGCCTTCCTCTCTCTAGGACAGCTCCCTGACACACCCTCCCCCTCAGTGCAGCCAGGCCCCACAGTGGCCTCAGGAGAGATCGTGACCCTGCTGTGTCAGTCATGAGGACCGATGGACACTTTCCTTCTTTCCAAGGATGAGGCAGCTGATCCCAACCCCCATGTCTTAGATTAAAGTACCAAGCTCAGCAGAACCAGGCCCAATTCTCCATGAGTCCTGTGACCTCAGCCCACAGGGGGACCTACAGGTGCTACAGCTCACACAATACCTCCCCCTACCTGTTGTCACACTTCAGTGACCCCTGGAGCTCCTGGTCTCAGGTGAGGGGCCCCTGATCATGTCCTTTCCGAGCTCAGTCAACTCAGGGCTCTGTCCTCAAAAAATCTGTGACTGTAATAAATGAGGGGCACAGGGGGAGACTCCACAGAGAAGGGTCCAGCTCATGAGAGGGTGGAAAGAGACAGGGTCTTCTCATCCCTTGAGCACCCCATCCCTGAAATATCAGCAGAGATAAAGAGTTGGGAGGGCTGAGTGAGCCCTGGGTGAACCCCAGAGGAACTTGACTAGACAGAGGGTAGAAGACAGGCCCCCATCACTCACCTCCTGACATCTCCATCTCAGAATATGAGTCTCTGGTGCCCCAGGTCCGACTGGACACTCTCTTATACAGAGAAGCATGCCCACCTGCGGGTACCACTCTGCATAGCCCTCCTGTGCTCACCTGGAGGCCTCCAGCCACTCACTTGAAATTTAAAAAAACAAAGGGGTACAGGTTTATTTTAATCAAATGATTAGCCATTTCTACTTGCTACTTTATCAGACTTTGTAGAGTTTGTCCAAAAAGAGAAAGATGATGATGGGGTCTCCCTCTTCTGAGTACCCCTCCCTGATCTGTCTCCAATTTACCAAGCCCCTAAGTCTCAGCTCCTCCTTCTCCTCTGCCCCCTCCCTATGTCCCACACATAAGACTTTATTCTTTATTAAAGAACAGATTATGACCTTACTTCTCTCTGTTTCTTCTTTTCTCTGTCTCTCTCTATACATATACGTATATGTAATTATGTATATATGTAGTTTAAGATATATTGGCTATCATATGAACATATATGGTTATATATATATTTATACATACACATCCATGAATATATACCATATATTCATATATATCTGCAAATATTTGTCCATATGCTCATGGTTTTCATCTGGTGTGGTTTCACACGTTTGTTATTAGTCTTTCCACTTTGATTCACATCCAAGCAAGGAATAATATTGTTTTTATAACCCAATGACTAAACCTCACCTTTAGAAAATACGTCTGCATGCTTTTGCATACATGTCTATCTGTCTACCATTGTAGGTATTGCTAACTATATGAAGACCGAATTAATGAAAGAAAAAAGGGATGAAAACGTCCAGGTGATGATTAAAATGCAAATCTCAGAGAAGAGGGAACTGTGTGAGGTGGAATGAAGGGGAACCAGCCCGAGAATCTCACTCCTTTCTGCTCCTGACACTAGGAGCCCATGACACCCACCCTCATCCATGGAACCTGGGGCCTCAGCTGTTGAATAAGTAGAAACTATCAGTTGTAGGGAATAAGCTTGTGGGGTCTTGTGTCCCAGACTGAACAGAGAACATACAAAGGCTCAACTATTTCTGTACTAGGATGCCATTTTTCTCTCCCATCCTGAGCTCTTGGAACACATACAAACTCTGTTCCACTGTGACTCATAAGAAGACCCTGAATTAAAAGAAAACAAGGAGGCTGAGAGAATCCAGTGAGGAGACCAGAGGGAATCCTACTATGGCAGAGAAAGTGTCAAATAAAGAACCATTTATAAATTATGTCATGAGAAATGGGGCCTAAGAAGAAAACATCTTTCCCGGTATGGCTTGACATGCAATTGAAAAATGTAAATGGTCATTGGACTTTCTGATTTCATTTTGTTCAGACAATCTGAATTTGGATGGAGGCCACCAATATGGACTTGGGGATTATTTCAGAGATGGTGACAACCCCATCAAGTCATAGTTTAGGGATCACACAGGGATTGGTTCCAGATTGAACAATACTCAGGTAGCCTGGTATCCTCTTGGACCCAAATAAAGGGGAATCAGGGAAAGGCAGCTGTGTGCAGAAGGTGCCAGATGTTGGGGTCAGGCTTGTTTTGATTCCATTCCCAGGTGGAAACTCAATGGATGCTTGGCCCTGAAAAACAGACACAATATCACTAAGACTTGGTGTCTTTGACAAATGGTGTTGGATAACTGAATGCAAAAGAATGAAGTTGTACCCTCACCACACAACCATACACCAAAATGATGTCAAATTGGATCAATATAACAGCTAATATTATAAAACTCAGAAGAAAACATAGATGTAAATCTTCATGACCTTGGGCTTCCAGTGTTTTCTTAGAAAGAATATCAAAAGTACAATAAACCAAAAAGAGTGGATACATTGGACTTCATCAAAATTAAAAATGGGGGCTGGCCTGGTGGAATAGTGGTTGGGTTCCCATGTTCTGCTTGGACGGCCTGGAGTTCACAAGTTTGGAACCTGGTCATGGACCTACACATCCCTCATCAAGTCTGGCTGTGGAGGCATCCCACATACAAAATGGAGAAAGACTGACACTGATATTATCTCAGGGACAAGCTTCCTCAAGCAAAAACAGGAAAATTGGCAATAGATGTTAGCTAAGGACCAATCTTCCTCAAAAAAATAAAATAAAATTATATGTGAACCAAAGGACACTATAAAGAAAGTCAAAATAAAACATGCAGAATTGGACAAAATGTTTGCAAGCTATATATCTGATAATTGTGTGGTCCAGAACATGTATTGACTTCATATAACTCAACAACCAAAAAAAATGCAATTTTCAAAAATAGTCAGAGGACTTGAGTAGACATTTCTACAGAAAAAATATTCTGCAAAGATGACATATTTCTACAGAATGATAATGAGCACGGGGAAAGATGCTTGCCACCATTAGTCATTAGGGAAATGCAAAATTAAATGATAATGATGGACATCAGCAAGAAGGTGGGATAGGAAGGTCCAGCACTCGTTGTCCATGGAAACCATGATTTAACCACCATCCACAGATGAAAAGACCTGTATGAACAGCCTGGAGTCAGGGTGTGAGGTATCAGCATGGCGGTGGAGCCCACAATCTGAGAACAACCTCATTGTGAAGGGTAAAGAGAACAGCTTCACTTCCCCTTGCATCACCTTCTCACAAGCTGGCTCAGCTCAGCACAGAGAGAGACCCCTCCACCTGCAATTTCTCCCAGGAGGGAAGAGAGTAATGTGAGCATCTTTTCTGCAGTCTCTCCAGGTGCTGCCTGAGAGCCCCCTTCAGTCCTGTTGAGGGAATCAGCACAGCTGGGTCTTCTGGGGGCAGCTAAGAACAAAGAAATGGAGAGGAGCTCACAGCAGATAAGGTGGGATCTCAACAACCAGCCTACAGACACTGCCAGCAGCCCACTTGCAGACCATACAGCTGGTATGAGTTTCCTCAGAAAACTGAAAATAGAACTACCCTACTATCCAGCAATGCTACTCTTGAGATATATCTAAAGGAAATGAAATCAGGATCTGGGTGGGATATCTGCACTCCATGTTCACTGCATCATTATTTACAAGAGCCAAGATATGGAAACAATGTAAGTGTCCATCAATGGATATATGGATATAGAAAATATGTATATATAAACAATGAGCTATTATTCTGCCTTAAAAAAAAAGAAGAAAATCCTGCCATTTGTGACAACATGGATGAACCTGGAGGACGTTATGCTAAGTGAAATAAACCAGGAATAGAAAGACAAATACTGATGATTTCACTTACATGTAAGAAAGAAAAAAAGTTGAATTCATAATAACACAGATTAGAATGGTGGATATCAGATGCTGGGGGCTGGGTAAAAGGAAGAAATATTGATCAAATGAAACAAACTGTCAGTTATAGGATGAATAAGTTCTGGAGACCTAATGTACAGTGTGGTGGCTATAGTTAACAATAATGTGTTATATACTTGTAATGCACTAAGAGATCTCAAGCGTTCTCACCACACACATACACAAATGGTAACTATGTGAGGGGATAGATACGTTAATTAGCTTAAGCATGGTGATCTATTCAACATGTATGTATATATCAAAACATCGAGAAAGTGATATCATGGCAGAGTGAGTTGTTCCATTTGTCTCTCTCCTCTAAATTACAAAACCCTGGACATACGTGGACCACCAGAGAATTCCCTAACAGCACAACAGGATACATAAGAGATCCATGCATCTATACATCTAAAGGTGGGTGGCCTGGAGACCTGGGAGCAAGAGGAATTAGGGGAGCAGGCCTCCCTCCCCCAGCAGCAGTGATCCAGGGCAGCTAGCACCAGATATGAGAGCCTTCACAGCAAGCAGGAACAACAACATCTCCCTGCTTAGCCCCTGCTCCCCCCTAGCGGTGAAAGGTGGAACCTGTGACCAGAGGCTTCAGAAACCACAGTACAATGAGGATACAGCCCCTTGGAGAACCCCTGACACCAGCGCCACCCGCAATGGGGGCGTCATACAAGTCCCTGGGTCCTTGGGCCCCCAGAAGTGACAGTACCACTCGTGAACTCAGCATCCCTGACAGTGGTGCAAGCAGCACTCCCTGACAACTCAGGAGCAGTAGTATAGGTGGTGACCAGGGCAGCAGCGTCTGAGCCTGTGGAGAGTCAGTGGAGGAACACAAGACCCAGGTGACCCTGGAAGCAACAGAAGTGCTCATAGCCTGGTGACCTGCTGACACCTGAGATTGCAGCGACATCATAAGCATCAATGCACCAGCAACCTCAGAGGAACAAGGAAGGCACTGATGACAACTCTACCAGAGGCAGTGGAGGATGGAAAGTGCAGGTTCTCAGATACAAACAGAAGCAGCCCAGAACCAAAGTATCAAAAGTCGTACCCAAATAAGAACAGTGGTTACTATCATTAATGCACCAGCAGAGGATTAACTCATCACACGCGATGAAGAACTACAGTGACACAGCAGAACAGAAAGAGAATGACAAATCTCCAGAAACCAAACTTCAAGTCACAGAAGATTACATTCTAACTGACAGAGAATTCAAAATAGCTATCATAAAGAAATTCAATGAGCTACAACAAAACTCAGAAAGACAGTTCATTGAGCTCAGGAATAAAATTAATGACCAGAAGGAGTACTTCACCAATGAGACTGCAACTCAAAAAGAAAACAAACAGAAATTCCAGGGATGAAGAACACAATAGA